AGAAGAAGAAGAAGAAGAACAGGAGGAGGTAGAAGAAGAAGAAGAAGAAGAAGAAATAGTAGAAGAGGAACAGGAAGAAGAAGAAGAGTTAGATAATGAAGAAGTAGAAGAGGCAGAGTTGGAAGAACCGAATGACGAAGGAGATGGAGAAGAGGACCCTGCAGAAGAGCAGGAAGAGTCTGCAGTAGAAGAAGAAGACGATGTAGAGGAGGAGCAGGAAGAAGAAGAAGAGTTAGAAAATGAAGAAGAGGAAGAGGAAGAGGCAGAAGAAGAAGAGCAAGAAGAGTCTCTTGATGAAGACGAACAGGGGGAAGAGGAAGAAGAAGAGGTAGAGGAAGAGGAAGAGGTGGAGGAAGAGGAAGAGGAATCCGTTGTAGAGGAGGAGTTAGATGATGAAGAACCCCAAGCTGATGATGAATCTGTTGATGAAGAGCCTGCAGAAGAGGACGATGCTGCGGAAGAAGAAATCTCTGAAGAACCTGAAGATGAAGAACCTGAAGATGAAGAACCTGAAAATGAAGAACCTGAAGATGAAGAACCTTCTGATGATGGCGAACTTGCAGATGATGTAGAAGAGGAACTGGAAGAAGAAGAATTAGAAAATGAAGAAGCAGAAGCAGAAGAGGCAGAAGAAGCAGAAGAGCAGGAAGAATCTGCTGATGAAGACGAACCGGCAGAAGAAGAAGAAGATGTAGAGGAGCAGGAAGAAGAAGAGTTAGAAAATGAAGAAGAAGAGGCAGAAGCAGAAGAGCAAGAAGAATCTGCCGATGAAGATGAACAGGCAGAAGAGGAAGAAGAAGAGGTGGAGGAAGAGGAAGAGGTGGAGGAAGAGGAAGAGGTGGAGGAAGAGGAAGAGGAACCCGTTGTAGAAGAAGAGGAAGAGTTAGATGATGAAGAACCCCAAGTTGATGAGGAATCTGCTGATGAAGAGCCTGCAGAAGAGGAGGATGCTGCGGAAGAAGAAATCTCTGAAGAACCTGAAGATGAAGAACCTTCTGACGATGTAGATGAGGAACAGGAAGAAGAAGAGATCGAAAATGAGGAAATCTCTGAAGAACCTGAAGATGAAGAACCTTCTGACGATGTAGATGAGGAACAAGAAGAAGAAGAAGAGATAGAAAATGAGGAAGTAGAGGATGAAGAACAGGAAGAATCTCCTGATGAAGACGAACAGGCAGAAGAGGAAGAAGAAGAGGTGGAGGAAGAAGAAGAGGAAGAAGAAGAGGTGGAGGAAGAAGAAGAGGAAGAAGAAGAGGTGGAGGAAGAAGAAGAGGAAGAAGAAGAGGAAGAAGAAGAGGTGGAGGAAGAAGAAGAGGAAGAAGAAGAGGTGGAGGAAGAAGAAGAGGAAGAAGAAGAGGTGAAGGAAGAAGAAGAGGAAGAAGAAGAGGTGGAGGAAGAAGAAGAGGAAGAAGAAGAGGAAGAAGAAGAGGTGGAGGAAGAAGAACCAGTTGTAGAGGAAGATAAAGAACCTTCAGATGAGGGCGAACTTGTAGATGAAGTAGAAGAGGAACAGGAAGAAGAAGAAGAGTTAGATAATGAAGAAGTAGAAGAGGCAGAGTTGGAAGAACCGAATGACGAAGAAGATGGAGAAGAGGACCCTGCAGAAGAGCAGGAAGAGTCTGCAGTGGAAGAAGAAGACGATGTAGAGGAGGAGCAGGAAGAAGAAGAAGAGTTAGAAAATGAAGAAGAGGAAGAGGCAGAAGAAGAAGATGAACAGGGGGAAGAGGAAGAAGAAGAGGTTGAGGAAGAGGAATCCGTTGTAGAGGAGGAGTTAGATGATGAAGAACCCCAAGCTGATGAAGAGCCTGCTGAAGAGGAAGATGCTGCGGAAGAAGAAATCTCTGAAGAACCTGAAGATGAAGAACCTGAAGATGAAGACGATGTAGAAGAGGAACAGGAAGAAGAAGAATTAGAAAATAAAGAAGCAGAAGAGGCAGAAGCAGAAGAGCAGGAAGAATCTGCTGATGAAGACGAACCAGCAGAAGAGGTTGAGGAAGAGGAACCTGTTGTAGAGGAAGAGCAAGATTTAGATGATGAAGAACCCCAAGTAGATGATGAAGAGCCTGAAGAAGAGGAGGAAGCTGCTGAAGAGGAAATCCCGTCAGAACCTGAAGATGAAGAACCATCTGATGAGGGCGAACTTGTAGACGATGTAGAGGAGGAACAGGAAGAAGGAGAAGAGTTAGAGAATGAAGAAGTAGAAGAGGCAGAAGTAGAAGCTTCGAATGACGAAGTAGAAAGTGAAGGTGAAGAGCAGGAAGAATCTGCTGATGAAGACGAACTAGCAGAAGAGCTTCAAGCTGTTCAAGCTTTAGATACAGTTCTAGATGAGGTAGAAGCAGAAGATAACCAAATAGAAGAAGTTAATGAAGAGACAGTTGAAGAGAATGAAGATTTAGAAGAAGTAGAAAATGAAGATGAAGAAATACCGGAAACTGCCTTGGAAATGGGTGAAGAAGATTCACCAATCGAAGAAGGTGAGGTAGAAACACTAAGTAGAACGGTCGAAGTCGAGGATGAGCCCCAAACGGTAAGTGAAAACAACAATCAAGAAAAAGAAGACGACAATGAGGAAGAGGAAGAAGAAGATAATGTTAAAAAGTTCGAGTGTCGACCACGAAGGGTAAGTCAAGTTATTAAAAAAAAGATAAAATTACATATAGTCTGCTTGCATATTCATAATAACACACATACGTTCATTATACTCGTATGTAGGTAATACGCTTATGTGATAGTGAAAAATGCAACAACATTCCGCTTATGTATGGTTTAACAAGCTTTCAATCATACGGGTATTCTTATATTATGCAAAACTTGGCATTGTGCAGACAAGTCCGATAGTACCAAGGCACTCATCTTAAGGACAATAACACTTTGACATTTACGAGTGGCTGTCTCACACTTAAAAGCCTAAAACTCATATTTTCTCAAAGCGAAAACGCAAAGGTCGCACAGAGATTTATTAATACTCATGTCTGCTGTATGGTACTATCTGCATCTAGCCACCACATACGCTCGGTTAGGGTTATGAAATGTTTTAAACGACTTTAAGAAAATACAGCAAGGGCAATTCGTAAACGGAGAGTCTCTAACCAGCAATGATTTGTGCTTATTTCGAACTCTTTTCGTTTCAAAAAATGATTTTATTCAATTTAAAATGCGTGGAGCAGAGGACAATCGAAATTCTTCGTACTTATTTCGGGTAATTACTTCGTTATGATTTTAAAATAATTTATGTTTGTTGAGGATAACACACATATTCGTTTAACGGGACAGCACAACTCTTGGGGTACTTCAAATTCGATCCGCTTAATTGAAGAGCGTAAATAATTGCGGCCCAAGCAGCGTGCCTGCGCTCTTAAAACACACAAGTTGATCTTATAAATCTGTATATACTCGTATATATATATGGTATGTATATTTGTCAACATACTTTGTACGTGTTCATGGGACAAATTTCATCTCTATAATGTATAGCATTGCTCCACAATTACTAATTGATTGCACTCAATGCACAAGTGCGATAGACGAATATTGACTGCATGAATCATGACTAAAAACCAAATATTTATGCATTTGTTGATAAATCACTCACTTTGCGGATATTTATACACTTGTGGAATATTGGGAATTTAGTGATAAACGCGAAGAATTTCTTTGGAAATATGAACTGTTACTGATAACTTGTTAAGAGATGGCCTAACTCAATATCTCTTATGCACCTATTGCAATTGTTTTTGCCATAATGTCTTTTATTTGATTTCGTTTTAGATATAGAGTTGAAGGTAATATAGCTCTTATCGCCATTCCACCAATCAGCTCAAGTGGGGAATGTGCACAATAAAAATTAAATTTCTTGTTTAGATAGATGTTCATGTAATAACTACGTGAATGCAGTTGTAAAAAAATTTAATAACCGAGGAAAATATATTTTATCAAAAAAAGGGGGCTTGTTGCCCTGCCATAAATGTAAAATGCCCACGGTATATCTGGGTAAGTGGCAACGTAGCATCTTATTAATGCCTCTCTGCATCCGTTTTAATAGATGAAACTGTTTCATTTTGTTCGAATCGGTCCAACGAACAGACTAAAAGGAACTAATTAATACCTTATTGCAGATGAAAGGGCTAAGTTGGAGACTCCAACAATTAAATCCCACAAAGAGTATTTGCTCTTTAAATACTACTATGATATGATAAAATATGGTTTTATTGGTAATAACTGATCTTTTAAGTATATACTACATCATTTACGATATTTTGTTTGTTTTTGTAAGTCCGGGTCAATTTTGATCAGATGGCATGTCTATATTCTTATATGATTTGTTGCCAGTTTGCATGACAATATGGACTTCCTCCTTACCTTCCGGTAATAAATTCAAGGGATAATGTATCCAAAATATACCACTTTGCTCAAATTCGCTTCAAATTCGAAAATTCGACCTAATCCTATGTCGAAGTTTTGAAAATCAAAAAAAAATTTAGATTCTTTATATTTTAAATGCATACATACTTCCAATTGGCTGTTAACTTATGCTCTTCGTGTATATAACAGAAATTATAATTAAGTAAGAGGTGGGCGTGGCTAATTGCCCATAAAAATAGAAGTATGTCACGCGTATGCCGTGTATACTCAGATTTTATGATAACAATAAAAATAAAAGCAATTCATTCCACTTGTGACAAATTGGGGCTAAAGCGGTATATCTACTAAACAAAGAGTATATTCACTATACATAAAGACACTTATTTGAATATATGAAATGTCTTTCTAAGCAAAC